GCAATGTTATTTGTTCGCAAATAAAAAAGGAAAATAAAATGGTCGAAAGTAATCTACGCTTCATTAAACATTTTCTGAACGGGAGAATTTCTGCAACAATGCTGAAACGGAAATCGAAAGTCAACCACGCTTCATCAGCAAACTAGATTAACGTCTATACATGCGTATCCTATGCACGTTTCCTCTGCACGCATCCTATGCCAAAGATCATCTGTATTAATAGCCTTGCATGGATCTAGTTTCAATTCAGATGGATTTCATTCTGGGTGTTCAATTTGATGTAGACTATGTGAAAATCGGTGTTCCTTTATTTCAGCCTTGTTGACCTAATATTAATTATTAGATCATCTAATGGTTATAACTGATAATGACGGAAGCTCCACAGCCGTATCAAAGGTAATGATTTCAGTTCCAGACGTTTTCAATTCTTGTTTGTTAAGTACATGTCTCGATTCTATTGTACGAGTTTGACTTCAGTGATCGTTTCACTGAAATCCACCAAACTCTAAATTTTTCATCGAACACTGCAATATTTGCGGCCGTGACATAAAAGGAAAACAAAACATGTGTCGAAATATGCTTAACTATGATAACGTCGGTTGGGAAACTGCTTGAGCTTTAGTTCGACGTAATAACTCAAACAATAGTTTACGTTGAGAGTCAGCTCCATTTAAGCAGAAAGAAATAAAAGAAAAAAAAAAAGAGAGGCTTCCTGTACTTCCTCTATACTGGTACAAATGTAATTAAAAATTTAAAAAAATTTCAAAACTATTGTTTGATTTTTCTATGCCACTTTTAGCGGAGAGTCCGAATAAAATGTGAAGACATTTCTATTTATCGGCTTCAGAGAACTTACGATCAGTGATTAAAAGAAACAATCTCCTGGCTTTGCACACCCCGTAAAGATACGTGAAAAGTACCTTTGATTTTGTACATTTATATTTTGGAGAGCGGGTTTGTTTCTTGAGAGATTGTGATCGCCTTAAGCAGCTCTATTATCCTTGTGTTTGCTTTCAGTATATTGAGTGGCTTGCACTCCTCAAGATTTCATCAACAAAATGTTTTTTTATCCAGTCATGAAGTCGTTCGATAAGAAATCAAGGAAAGGAATTAATTTTTAGTAATTCCTCCGGATGAAGCATAACTTTGGGACAAAATTCTTTCAAAGGTTTGATTATTTGTATACATAACAGCAATTCGTCAAATACTCCAGTTTCATTATCATGTCTTGTAAAGTTCGTTGTTACCATTTCTTAGGGTCGTTGCAACTGTTTGTCGAGTGGCAGATGTCGATGAATTATATTATGGCAGATGAATTATATTATGCAGGAGCGAAAGGCTTCCTTGCTCAACTTATGAAGGCTCAGTAGACAGGCAGTGAGAGCGTGGCAGTGATTTTGATTAGCTTTTGTTTGGAGCTGGTAGTGAAAGCAAATGTG